GTCGAAAAATATCTAGATAAAAATGATTTATCTCTTATCTTATATAGATAATTTTCAGCTCAGTTATGTTCGTCTTCATCTAGATTAAATTCTAGTTATCTATCACTCTAGTACCTATCTAGACAATTTATTTTAACGGACTAAAAAAAAAAAAAAATTGAAAATTAAAAATAATATGATTAACAGATATTTACATTTTTTTGTATGATTAACAGATATTTACATTTTTTTGTGTACCGTATACCTATTACACGGAAAACAGACATCTGGTAAAATGTATTATTAAACCGTGTATTTCAATATTGAATGCTCATTAGTCTGTAGTTGTGCATCGTAAACAAGTATAAAATGGAATGTTATGTTTGTGAGAGCAACTAACAATAGGCAATAGCAAAAGCGAAAGCATCTATCCCTGCTACCCGTCACAGCATGAAGGCGGTCTTCATTAGCTGATACTGGCCTCATAGAATTACAAGTACAATTACTCAGATTTATGAGTTGTAAATTTATTATGTACCTACTCATGTCCTAATAAAGTTTATTTAAAAATTAACTACGTTATTTTATGTTTTTAAGTATTTATTTTCTTTATTTTTCACCAAATACCTGTATCACTAAATATTTCCAAAAATAAACATGAATTTATCTGATATTTATAATCAAGATAAAAATGAAATAATTTTTATCTTTGTCCAGATAAAATTCAGTTCATTCATCTTTAACTTTATCTCGATAAATAATTAGTTATCTATTCTCAACACTGCTGATAATACCACGCTGAAGATGATAAAACTGTCAAAAACGCAGTCACAGGATGTGGACTGGAACATATCACAAAACAAAGAATTGATGAACAAATTTAGTATTGGCAGCTAAAAGCTTAAAAAGACTTGTAAAGCTAAAAAAAAAAATAAAATAAAATAATATAATCCTTTTGGCTTAGAGACAGATTAACTGTTTTTTCAATAACGGTTTTTGTAGAAAAATTCGTAAGTTTTCATTCGGTACACAAATTTTCATACCGACTGGAATTGGACCCTATTTTTTTGTATGATGACCGAGACAACGGATCAAATCTTAATTTACGAAATAGATATATGCGTCGGAAATCACAGGGTATGATTGAACACGATTATCAAAGTCANGAGACAACGGATCAAATCTTAATTTACGAAATAGATATATGCGTCTGAAATCACAGGGTATGATTGAACACGATTATCAAAGTCATTCGACTTGATATTGAACGGTGGTAGCCATAACAATTGTATTTTAACGTCCATTAATTACTTGTCGTCTTCAAACTTCACATTTTAATGATTAGTTTAATAATATAATAATACTAAAAATTAAATAAGTAAATACACAAATAAACAATATTTTTAATGGGCGCAAATTAAATAACGTAAATTTAAAAATTTAACAACTATTTTAAACATACATTATTGTTATATTATATATATATATATACAGGATAGGTATATCGAAAAATTGTATTGTTTTTTTTTTAATTATTAAATTTTGGTTTACCGCAGTGTAGGTATACCATAATTATATCTTAATTATTTTAGTATAAATTTTAGTAGCTGTATTTAATGGCATTTATTAGTAAATCATTATAATTAATTAATAACAATTTTGAAATTAATTTTATTCAACAATATTATTTAATCAAAATATAAGTATACTTGTATATATATTTTTTCATTATATTATATTGTCTGGAACTCGGAGCGTATTTATTCTCATGAAAATATTAATATTAAATCAAAATGTTTTTTTTTTTTTTTACAACTAATTGGGTAAATTTAAATAACTAATTTTTCGTAACTATGAAATATTAACTATACATTTACTATTTATAATCATTAATCAATTATCAAGTAGAAAACCAAATACCGATCAAAGTACAATGTAAAGCGTTCCTAAAAGATATCATTGATATTAGATATTAATAACTGTTATTTTAAACCGCTTTTTCATAGAATATGGAATAAAATAATAATTGGAACGCGTGAATAAATTTAAGAACTTAAAGTAAAATTATATATTTTAAGAAATATAATAATCTAGTTTTTTTTAATGGGTATAATACCTACAGTGCTTCTGTAGAGAATATTTTATTTTCGTTAAATGCCACATTCAAAATTTGGTTTTGGCAAATTTGTACTTCTATATTCTGTATATGTCTGGTTATTATTATTTTTGTATCTGTTATCTCGTGTGCCCCGTGGGCGAACATTGTTCATTGAATTATTACTTTGATTATTATGGCCCACGAGTGTATTCAATATTATTTTTATTAAACTTTTTTTTTTTTTTTTTCGGAAAGTAGAAAATTCCAATAAACTTAAACTGTGATTTAAGTAAGCACGTGTTATAGATATTTATTGATGATATTCGTATTTAATAAATATAATACGTAAAATATCAAAACTATCTAAACCAAGCAGACATGATGGATATCAGCAATGGTGTTTATATCATCATATAGTGTAGAGATATTTTCAAAAACAGTAAAACAATTAGATAACTATAACATATGTTATTTTTGTCGATACGTTTTTATTTACAAAAATAAAAAAAACTTAGTTCTACCGTCAACAAGCCGTAGCAAATCGGTTTACTGGTATTGTGATAAGTTGCAAAATAATGATAACAATCTGTAACTGATTGGAAAAAGCCGGGTAGGCCTCTCGACCGACATGCTTTTCGACCGACACTGTTATTGGTAGAAAATACCTTTGTACAATGTGTAATCCGAAAATAATAAATAGCATGGACATTTTTTAGTTCGAATTCGACAGACCAGGGGAACTATTAATTTAGGAGATCGATACGATTGACAATATTAGATTATAAAATGGCATCGTTTTATATAATTATATTATAACCGTGTTACAATCACAGGTAAAATCCTAGTATTTTTCGGTAACGGTTTTAAGGACGAGCCCGCCAAATCAACAATATAGCTCATGGGTTCGCCGGGACACGGCATAATATTATAGGTTATAGATAGCTATTATATCTACTAAAACTCTCCTTCACAAAACGGCTTTCTCTAAAATCGAAATATTTTTCAGGATGACGGTTAAGTTTGGTAAAGTTATAATTGAAATTGTTTCTTTGTTCGTACATTGAACTGCCTATACAACTGTATATTACCTATATAGTTTCGTCGCCGATTCCTTAGGGCCGCACTTAATCCACTAAATAATCTATTTTGAAAGCCGAAGGTACAAATTTCAGTGTAAATAAATGTTGGTATGCATTACACATAGTTGTAGTTGTGTACAAATTAAAACAATCATATGGTTTTCTATATAGTTACGGACTACGGTTTAATCGATTTGTTCCGAATTATTCGTTTGGTTAGCTATCCATCATGGACACCAACGGTAATACGAGATTATGATTTTTCCACTCTGAAAGGGTCGCGAAATTTCAAGTTAAACAATAATTTATTACTAGTCTACTCATCATGCTCAATACAAATGTCGTTTCAGGTTAACAATAGGTTTTATGTTTTAACAGGTTTCGAGCACGTTTAATAACAATTTTTTTTTTTTTTTTTTATAAAGAAATTTTAATATTAAATTTCGATGAAAACCGTTTGAGTAAAAAAATATGCGGTACAAACCTAATTTTTGAATTTGTTTTGTTTCTTGTTTTGAACATGTGTATATTTTCGATTTAAGAACGATGATGGAGTTAGAATTGACCGGACTGAGTTAGTTTTGAAATCATAGCTTTTTGAAGTTCTGATGTCACGCAGATATTATGTGTTATGTAAAATAACTTAATAACGACCATGTTTTAGTATGTCTGTCGTATTCTGGTGCAGGTGCAACTTACCTATTGTCATCCTAGGTATCGCATGTTAAAACCCGAGTTCCAAAAGAAATGCATTTTGGGTGTACCTAGAATCCATCGCTCGTTTAGACAATTTTAATCGAAAAATACCTCTCGATAAACTTTTGTACGGGAAATTTTGTTCCGATGTATCAAATTTAGCACTTTTTTTGAAAGGAAATTCTATCTACATGATACTTTAAGGAGGTTTATTTTTATTTTTCCATAGGTTTTCATAATAATCTGGAAAAACCGGGATAAAATGTCAGAAAAACGGGACAATTTACAAAAATTCTGCTTTTATAATGCAGTTAAAAAAAAAAATAAATTTCATGTAGTATATTTTTTTTTATAAGAGTTTAATATAAAATTTCGACGAAAATCGTTTTAGTAAAACGATGTGGAACAAGTCTAGTTTCTGGTCCAAACAAATTCTTACAATATAAATATTTATCTTACTATGATATGAAATTCCGCTAGAAAAGCAATATTATTAATCGAGCATCGTTTTTCGTTGGTAATGATTAATCTTTGCGTACAGATATACATTAAATTCCCTTCTAAATCCTACCTTTCCAACTTCCCACCAAAAATAGTGGCCGAATCCCCGGGCGAAGTATGCCCGTCTTTATTTGTTACATTTTTGTTAAGTCTTTAATGTAAGGAAACTAAAAGAAAAAAATTATTGACAAATTATCAAATAAATAATATTCGAATGGCGACATTTGAATATTCATGTAATTAAATTACTTATTCGAATGAAAGTTGTACACACAAATTACCTATAAGATACAATAAAACTATGAACGAGTGTTGGATAACTTTGTACATTTTAAACCTTCGAATTCAGTGCACAATTTTATGCTGAGACAAGTGAAAATTTGTGAATTGGTAAAATTCATGTGTTCATCCATATTATTACTTATCTAATGCTCTGCGCATAATCGTTTATAATTTTCTGATTTTGAAAAAAATATTATTATTATGTTTTCAGAAAAAATATTCTTATTTGTGTAATTTGATATATATATATATAGGTACATACTTAGCCTAATATAAAATTTGACGAAATTCTAACTAAACATTATTATTTGTTTTATCTGTTTTATGTCCAGACTACAAAGAAGCGATTTGAATTTAACACAGTCATGATAAAACCCAAGTCCAAACACACAATTAGACACATCTTGGAACTGCCATCCGGTTCGCCGCCGTCCAAACGTCCTGCCGCCAAACCACCAGACGCAGTGCCATGGGTGAAGCGAAGAAAACTTATCCTTCCACCAGTCAACAAACAGGTGGGTGAAACCGTTGTTTTTCTGATATATTTACCGCCATCTAGCGTTTTATTCTAGCGTAATATTTAGCGCCATCTACAGGTATAATATTTCGCGTTATTGTCAATGGTTTTCGCGATCCATGCTACAGCGGCATCTATGGGCGCTTTACAGTTTCATGTTTACCGTTTTATTATACAACTAGAGAGCAGCACGCTGTTCAAAATTGACTTAAAATATTTGACATTTTTATCTCAATAACTCTTCGGTCCTTGATAAATTATTGAGGTGTTTGGGTAATTTTCTGTTAGTTTCCGTAAACAAGTTTTACATATAATATTAATACTGTAATGTTAAAGGTAAGTTACTAAAATTCATTAACAATATTTAAAATATAACTATTAGTTATATTATAATTTAGATAATAGGTATATAATATACACTGGGTAATAGATATTATATGATTATATCATTATTTGTGTTGAATTTACTATTTTTTAAATAAAACTTCTAAATAATATTATTTTACTCGAATGTGTAATGATAAAATATGTAAGGTTCTTTCGATTCTCAAATACTATAATGGTATCTATGGTATCAATATGATTGTCTTTACTGGTGTGTAATTATTAAGACTTTGTAATACCTGATTGACATTATACAAAGTACTATTTTTAAAAAATCAAAAATGTTTTTGTAAAGTTCAAAGTTCAATTTATTTATTTTAACTAAACATTAAAGGTTCTAAATCAAATGCCTATTAAAAGCATCGATATTTTCTAAAAAAACATAGATTTCAGCGTTTTGCAATATTATTATTTGATAATGCTTTGTCAAACGACTCAAACGTGTTTATTAAACTAAAAGGAAATTTCTTTTATATTCATGCCGTGCAAATCATTCAAATTGAAAAATAAAAAGAGAGCTGATTGTCCTGTTGGGTTCGTCACCGTTGTAGATGGAGAGTTGGCAAGGTAGGACATATAAAGTTATTTAAATCTGTAAATAACGATAAACCATTGCTAACAAAGAACGATTCTGAGCAAATTTCGTTTATACATGATTTAAAAGATCGTAATGTTCACGATTTTCATTTGAAAAATTTGAGTTTAAAACCATTAAAAAACAAAAAAACTACAACTACAGTTTGCTGAACCTCCTTTTTAAGCATTTCTGTTTGGTCAAATGAATATATTTACAAAGTACTTGTCAAATAAAACTGTGTAGAAACTTGCAAACATAAAATGCCCGACCATAGCTCAAAAATCGCCAAAATGGTTTAAAAATTTTACCATATCTAAAAAATGGAAATTATAAGTTTTCTGTCAAATACTTCTGTACGTCTTTTTCCGGGTTTTACCAATTATTATGTAAACTGCTTGGGCAATTAAAAAAAAAAAAAAAAAAACAAACGATTTATTTCGGTTATATATTCGGTTTTTTGATGTTTTCGAAATTGGCATTTTTAGGACGATCGAAAGATTCGAATTAGGTAATTCGTAACTATCGCATTTTTCAACGATCTATCTTAATTACGCATTATTCATAAGTATGACCATACTAATTTATTTGTATTAAAGTAGTATTATTAATAAATCATGTTTTTAATCATGTTAATAAATTATTATCGAAATTATCCCATAATAATACCTAACGTTCGAAAACTTTCCAACCACTGTTCACAGTGGTTTCCACTGTGTGAAAATCACTGTTCCTTTTAAAGAAATTTGTATTTTACTGCACATGCGTGGACAAACGTACCTTGTCGAAAATTAGAATTTATCAAAAACATTTGTAATTATATGTCTTGTGCGTAGTAAAAAAAAACCTATTCAAAGTCATATATAAGGATATGTCAGGTGTCAAATATTTCCTGTTGCCTTTAAAATTAAATACGTGGTACCTATATAATGTACAAAATAATATGTCCTGACTGACTGATTCGTCATCGCCTAGTCCAAACTACTGGATGAATCACCCTGAAATTTAGGAATTAAATAGAAATATTATGAAGTAGCTATGTATAGGCATCCGCTAAGGATTTTTGGAAATTCAACCCCTAAGGAGGTAAATCGATGGGTTTTATGTATTTCCGGTACAAATATCTAATTGTTTGTACATTTATTTTTGTCAATTTATGGGTCACCTTGGTGGCATGGATGATAATTTGGTTATCATAAACAAGAAATGTATTATTATTATTACTATTATTCACACTATTATTTAGTAATAGCGAAGCGTTACCGGGTCAGCGGCAGTAGTATTCTGTAACTCGATAAGCTGTTATCGACAAATGCCGAAATACTTATCGAATTTTACTTTACGTATCGAACTTTCTTAACGAATTTTCGATTCTGTAATATTACTAATCATTAATTTTTCGTTACAAAACTGAATTTTGTGTTACCGACATTCTCGTTAACTCTGTCGAATAATCCAAAGATTTTCGTTAAATCGACCAATCCAAATACTATCTTGAATCCTGATGACAGGTGATAAGCATATGTATCATAATTCATGATGATAGGTTATTTTTTTACGTATCACAAACTAAAATTATTACATACGTGCCACTAATATAATATTTTATTTTTTATATTATAATTTTTGATTTTTTGTCATATTTTATCTTTTATTTATTTGTCGTGTATAACTAATAAAATTAGTACATTGTTAATAAATCCCTAATAGGATTCATCACGTCGATTGCTAATTCGGTTTTAAATGGAACAAAAATATAAATTCTTCAAAAAGGTAATTCAAATGGATATTGTATATCTCTCAAAACCCGTCTTTCAATACGGCGTTTTTGTAATCGAACTATTTGTTCCAACTGCAAAAGTTCCCACATTAAAAATTCTAGAGCCGTGTAGAGTATGACTGATGAGAACGATTTTATTAGGCAAAAATTACTTAAAAAGAATCTTAGAAAATATAAGAATTACAAAACAGTTAGAATAAAAAATTATTATTACAACTATTATTATCAAATTTGTAAATATGTAGGTGCAATAAGTAATAATACGAAACGTGTTTTTCCCTTTGTTCGTCGTCGGTGTTATCGAGGTGTTTAGATGCGTGTATATTTTGTTAGGTCAACTAATATTTGTGATACACATTTATCGATAATATTTAATAATAAGAACATTTTTGATGGCTTTTAACGAACCGAGATTTGTCCTTAATAGCTGTCCTTAATACCTTATCGAGTTACAGAATACCGCTGCAGCTAGTAAATCGTAGTATATTGTACCTATGGACATAAACTACGTACAACACGAACAGCGACGTAAAAGCGTAACGATTGCGATACAAATATCTATTTAAAAATAAAAAGTTTGAGGCCCTCGTGTGCCTCCTTGGTACATAACTGATAGTATAACGACGTTGCAATCGAATAGTCGGAACCCCCCCGGAGGTTTTACTATATTGACAAGTTACATACAATAGCGCCAATAATACACCGTTTTCACTATAAACACGATATATTCGTTGAATATTGTGTACGAGATTATTTGTTGACGTCTCCATTTAATAATTTGTTTACAAACACTGTGTAAAAAAATCTTAAGGCGAAAAACTGATTTCTCCTAGTTATATTTTTTTAACTTTTCGACGGTCGCATTCATTTTGTGAATTCACCCGAAGCGTTTATTTTTCGTATTTTTTTTTGTTCACCCTCCCGGAATTGGATGGATCTGTCGCGAAAGCCCGCGCCCCAATACGCGTCTTTCAAATGGGCACGGCGTGAAGTCGACCGTGAAATTTATGGCGTTGTCCGGGAAATAAGTCTGCTAGTAGAAAAACAGGTTAAATGTTTTGTAATCTCTATAAAAATCGGATTTATCTAACCGGCTGTACACACACACACACACACACACACACACACACACAGAGACACACATGCACACAAATACCCACATATGTATACATATATATATATATATATATAGATGTATATTCTGGAAACCGATGAGACGGGAGGAGAAGGGAAACAGGAAACCAAAACAAAATAAAATATAAAAAAAAAAAGGATCGTAACAAACGACAAAGGCCAAGCATATCAATAAAATCTAACTGCGATATACAGACCAATAAGGGAGGAAGTTTTTTTTTTTTTTTATATTTTTTTTATCATTCTCTCGCGTCGCCTACGAAAGGAGTTAATAATTTATCTGTGGACTCTATTCGTTCGAATGCATATATTCAGCGAGACACAGGGAGTCGGCGGCGGTTTTTAACAAATTATTATTAGTATTTTTAGGCTCCAATATAACGTACAATAAAATAAACAAAAAACAAACAACGACAAATAGGTTAGGTTTGATTAAACTAAACCTTAATTTTAATTTTAACATATTATTTATACACGAGTAGTTATACATAATATAATACGCATTATACATTTTTTTTATTGGACAATGAATATTTTCTCTTTCAGTCTAAACATGTTATAATGTTCTGAGTTTCATCTCATTATTACTGATATGTGTTTTTTTCTCGGAAAAACACTTCTTCGGTTAATAAAAATGTTCCAAACTATTCACGTCACATGATTAAGAAATACGGAAAATTTCGGACGGTGGTATACCTTTAATGCAAAGCCACTGATGGGAATAGGAATATAAATAAATCGATATTTTACACAATTAGTTCGTCATGTGTCGTTGTGTTTTTCTAGTTATGCGATTTGTTTGAATATGCTGACGACTGAATTTGATTGGATTATCGGTTACGAAAGAACTACCACTGCAACAATAACCGTATTATATTATAATACATGAAACGTACGAACTAGTATTTTGTGTTTATTATGTGTAAGTCACGACAAATAATTCGGTAGGTCACATTGATTTTAAGGCAAGGACGAGCAAGTTACAGTTACTGTAACTTAGTTATATTAGAAGTTTAAAGTTACATTTAGTATATTACATTCATATAAAAATAATAATAATACAGTTTTCAGTCAATAAAATATATTTTATTTATTTATACAATTGGTCAATAGTTGCAAGATAAAGCTAATATATTAAGGTCGGGTTGCACAAACGTTCTGTATTATTTACAAACCTGTAAATTAACTATTTACAGACCTGCAACTGAGTATAAGTATTATAATTATCGATAGCATAATTAGTAAGTGATAAGTGATTTGGCACGTATTGTTCCGTTCTTATCACAAAACGAAATAATATTGGTTTGTATTGTACAATATAATGACACAAGATGATTTTTGTAACTTGAGTTACGTGTATCTATTGTTACGATTTAGAAAAAAAATCGTGACTCGTTAAATTTAAATGTTACTCGAAAATTGTGTAACTGATTATAAGTTACTAGTGGCATTGTGTTAATGTAATGCCCAATAGGTAAGTCTGAAGAAAACAAACTTATTGCATTCGAATACTGGAGACGTTTTTAAATAAGTCGGGCGAATCGTGTAAGACAAACGCAGACGTTTTTCGAAGAGTTTCCTAACGGCTCTGAAGACGTTTAGGTGTTGGCGGGGGGGCTAAATTAATCGGCCATACGATACGAAACGGCAATCGACTAGGAATATCGCTAGAGGGATCCGCGGGAGAAAAGAACAGCCGAGGACGGCCGCGTCTCGGTTACGCGGGTAAAGTAGTTACAAGACGGGAGACATATTGCGATTTAAATACGGAAACCGGAGTGACGGGGAAGAACGGAGGAATGCCGCGGACCTGCGCCCGCGCACACACCCGCCCGTCCGCCTGATGCAGGATATCCCAATGGATATCATACTTCAAGGGGCATACCCTGTGATAATGTAGACCGGCCTTTCGCACGCGTAGCGCGGTCATCGACAGCCTTCAGCGCTCTTCGTGTGCGACTGGTGACTTTTACGCGGTATTGTTGTACATTGCACTAGACACGCGATGATAACAGTGATGCGATCATACTGTGCATCACTGTAGTATGTGTGACTAGTATGGTTACTGCGTGGTCTGTAGGCGAGACCAGTGTTATTGTTACAAAGGTCAACGGGGACACGCGTCCGCCGAGTCCGGTGCCGGAGGCCGTACCGCGGCGGTTTTCTTAAAACGGATTCCGCGCGTAATCGTAAAAACGTTCGGCTTTTCTGCGTACCGCGCGCGTCCGAAACCCGGCAAAAACGACCGTAAATCCGTAAAAAAAAAAAAAAAAACAACACAATAGCCGCGCGTAAGGCCCGCCTCACGCGACGACGATATTCAAAAGCGACTGTAGCCGCTCGGATACCGGGATACCGGGAGACCGGGTGACTGAGGTTTCCAGTTGTCCTCACACACGGTTTATCGAATTAATGATGACTAACACAAATATTATACGACGACGGCGGTGCAGCAGCACGACGGTTAAGCCCGGCGGCCCCCCCATCCCCCCATCCCCCCATCCCCCCCCACCGGGACACGTCTATTTTAACGGGCGCCGTTAACGCGCGCCGCTCGCGTCCGGGCATACCGCCGCCGCGGGTCCCGGGTAATAAATGGCCGTTTCTGCGTCGCGCTTACCCGCCCCCACTCGACGCCGGCGTCTCCTCGTCCGGCACAAGACGCCTAGGTATACGCGTGTAAGGATACAAATACACCTTTAGCCTCCCCCCCTCCCCACCGCCGTATCTCCTTTATACGGCACACGACCGGGCGGCGGCGTCTTAAAGACTAATTGGTCATAATTAGCCACCGGCGGCGCGTATTGTATTATTATAATAGTAGAAGTCGCGCGTTTCGCGGGGATACAATATAATGTGTATATATATACACATATACACACACACGCGAATAGTATTATAGTCGCATATTATATTATTATACGCGCGCGCACACACACACACACACCACACATTATATATTATAATACGCAGTGCCGCTCTTTAAAACGGACCGAGACGCGCGGAGGACGAGGCGGCGGTCGTCGTGAGCGCGTACACGCGTTTATATACACACAAGGAGGACCGCGCGGCGGACGACGGGCGAGGGGGCGTGAGGGGGGTGGGGGGGTGGCGAGGGTGTGGTGGAGGCGAATTCACACAGATGTGCCGCGCGCGCCCGTTATTTACGATCGGGTCACCTAACCCTTGTAATGCCGACATAACGACTTGGCCGCTATGTATTATTATTACCGGTTATCATTATTATACGCGCGAGGCGTGGGCGGCACTTCTTAGTGCGGCGGGAGATTTATAACTCGCGCGCCCGGTAGCAGGTCGTCTTAAGTGCGCCCGACGTACCCCGGGACCCTCGCGACGGCTGCCCTAGCGCGCGCGTCCCCGGCGATCGGCCCGATTTGTCTCCGCGCCATTATCCGCGCGCTAATAATAATAATATATAACGTTGTGAATACGCGCGCGCCGGGATCGGAATAATTCGCGTCACTCCGATGCCGCCACTGTTGTTGCCGCCGCCGCCGCCGCCGCCGCCGCCTTCTTCTCGCCCGCCGCGTCGCCCGCGTAAGTCGAGCGAACGGCCGTCAGCGGCGGTGGGTACGCGACGCGACCGAGACGCGCGCGCGTTAAACTCGCCACGACGCGTGAAGCGTCCCGGAGCGAAAACCGCGTCCGCCCGCCCGGTAGTGTGTACGCGTTTTTTACGTATCCGCCGCGTACGTCCGAAACGAAGCGGTAAAAATTTTAGCCGTACGAAATAGAAAAAAAAAAGAAAAAGAAAGACGGATATACTTCGCGATATAAAGCGCTGCTTACGAAAAGAAAAAAAAACGATTCTGAGCGGAGTTCAATTGATAATGTTGCTTTGTCAACAATATATTTGTCATATTATGGTAAAACGATGGTAAATAACATGATGCTTAATATTTTCGAACAAAAATCTTCTACGGTTATCCGAGTGTCGTTTTGTATACTGAGAAACTTCGTTCGACGTCACAAAAAGTCACGGGGGCGAACTTCATATATGTCATATCAGCAGCGGTTAGTTCTTCAGATATATCGTCTCGAGTTGTTATATTTCCCTCCAAAATATTTGAAATATTTTCCATTGCTTTATATCCTTTATTTTTTTCAATCACATTTTCAAATTTTTGATTTATGGTTTTCCCTATTGTTTGCCGTTATCGCGTATCGTAACGTTATCGAGGTTATTTACGATTAAGGTCGTTTCGAACTAACGATACGGCCACGGTCCTTCGATGGGAATTACGTATAGGTGTTACCCCCCAAAAATAAGATTGACAAAAAATAACATAAATATAATATTGTGGAGAAGTTTATTTCTTAAATGTTCTAGAATACTAATACCTGAAAAAGTTAATACTTTCTTACCCATTTAATTGAATCATTTTGTATACAAACGATGACGTTTGGTGACGTGATTATCGACCAGATCGCTCTATCACTTCGTTCGACATTGTTTTTTTACCAGAACTATATTTTCTAGAACCCCGACAACGGAAGTGTCTAGAAGCCGAAATTTCTTATTTTCGTGTACGCCGGGCTCCGCTCGAGGTACTTATTTTCTTTTTCGTCGAGTAATTTACCGGCTTCAACTTTAATGATAAGTTTAAAAATTGTATTAATTTGTAACTGCAAAATAAATTACAATAATTGTCTGAGTTTTTCCGTCGAGATAAAAATGTTTTTTTATGTGTATTTATGGAATCAACAAAGGTTTTTTGCCAGATATCTCTGGGAAAATTTTGATGAAATTTACATTAATTTTTATTCAAACCTAATTCCCTGTTCTGTGATAATATAACGTCATAAATATTTAATTATTTAACATTGTAATACTATTACGTATTTATGTCGAAGTAAACGGTTATACGCGATATCGATTTTAAAGTTAAGACAATATAATTGCAGTTCGTAAGGCGTTGTAGGCGTATATTTTAATGAAATTTACAATCTAACCGGTAGTTTTACATCGCGCACATTTTCGACTCCCTTTCTTATAATATATAAGTGGGGCGCCTAATTATTATTCGCAGTCGTATATAATTGTATTTATGTATATTATTATAGTGATATGAAGCATCAACTTTCGCGCTGCATTCCTTGATAACGGGTAGGTGTACAGCCGGAAGCTCTCTGGAGACTAAAACGGTTGCCGACTTACAATAATATATCGCACATAATATATGCATAAAAGTATATAATATGTGATCCATGTCCACCCCCTATTATCTGGTTCACGATTTAGTGGAGGGGCACGGTACGTACTCTAACCCCGTGCAATTTTTATCGATAATTGATCTAGGCGGTAATTGAAAATTTGGCCGTGGTATTGAAGTTTAAATATTAAATTTTTTATTTTATTTTTATTGACATTTTGTTCAAACTATACAAATTTCAAATTTTTTTTTTGCCTGATACATGACGGTGGGAGGGAAGATTGACTTCATAAAATGTTTGCACCATCTTTTAATAAACTAAAATGACGCCCTTGCTTATTACCGAACGTATTTAAATTTTTGGCTCTCTGTAATACTAATCTACGATACTTATTTCTATGTAATATTTCGATGTGCGTTTTGCTCCATTCGATTTCGAAGTTTTGACATAATTTGATTTATTGCACCGAGTGATCGTTTAACCGTAGTAGTGGCAATTGGTATGTATAAAACTGATTCTGCGTTTTGTCTTAATTGTTGAAAACATAAATTATTTTCAAGAAGTTTAGATATTGGATTTCCATCGATTTCTTTTTTATTATAGCTACAAAATAAAAACTTTACATTTGAGCTTTTACACTTTTAAACAAGGACGTCGAGTACTGCAGGGGGTTTTTAGGGCTAGTGACCCCTAGATTGAAAAATCAATATTTGTCATGTATATCCTCAAAAAAATAATTTTATTTATAACAAATGAATTGAGAAAGATAAACGATTTTTTTTTATATTGATAGTAGAAAATAAGCGTAGATTTTGGTAATCAACCAGATTATTGGTTAACTGTTGTCCGCTATTTGGTTTTTTTTAAATTTTTGTCTTGTGATTTTTCATGATACTGATACTATTAAAATGTTATAACATACAAATCTACAAATAACTATATTTTAGTAATTGTTTAACGAACAATTTAAGAAAAATAAAAATAGGAAATATATGGTAAAATTTAGGTAAAACTGTATAATGTGCATTTGTTTACAAAATAGTGAACTCCCCATGGTATTTTTAAAATCTGGTGCCTTTGCTCCTAATCATATTCAGATATAGATAAACAACGCAATTTATGGTTCAATCAGTTTTCCTGATGCATTCGAAAATATACAATAATTTTCAAATATTGCCACCTTTCTATAAGTTTAATTGCAGTATCGTTTTAATCTATGATCCATCTCTTTTATTATTTGTTCTAAAAATGATAAAATATAACCTAATGTATTTTTTTATGTCATCGTCTTTGTTTAATGAATTAAGTTTGTTTGCAATTTTGATTGCATTTTTAATAATATAGCTCTATTATAGACGCCATAATTTTTCATTTAATAAGTATATTGTTTTTTGACTGTTATACTTATTACGGAGAATATGTTACCCCCTCGCCGAAGTATACCTGGATTCAATATTGCCTACGATAGTAATAATAATAATAATGTTTTAGAGTATTTCCGTCTTTGTCGGGGTTTCCGCGTTCGATATAATATGTATAATATTATAATATTGGATTAAATAACCGAAACCTTCTAGGTGACGATAAGTATAACGGAATACGTAAGGAGGAACGCGCTTGGGCTTAAGAGAGAGTAGGAGGGACGAGGGAGTTGGTGGTCGAGAGGGGGATGACTGCACCCTTGGAAGCTGCGGTTTCTTGGTCCGCCGGACTTGATAAAGGTTCTCGGGTCCCCGTACAGCTGTACGGGTTTCCAGTGTAATCAGCATTTTGGTGACCACAAGCGCCGCCGCCGTGGATTCCGGGCAACATAACGACGGCTGCGGGGCCTCTCAAAAACGGTCTTTAATTACAAACGCGCGCGAGAACATATTATTATATTATACATAGGACCGAATGCGTCGGGAGTTAAGGGCGGAAGGATATTGTTATATAATCAATACGTTTCGGTCCATAAACTTTAACCTTTGCAAGTATTATACTTAAGAATCCCTAAAGTGAACGGCGGGTTATGAAAATTAATTTTCTCGGTTATAATATTATAAGCCCGATCGTTTAGACTGCAGCCGCCGCCGCTGCGCACGCAGCCGTTCGTTTGTCGGCGATTTTCGGGAATGAGTGTGAATATTTTGAAAATTCGGACGTAGATAGGCACCGTATGAGTAGGCTGACACCTTTGAAGGTGGAAGTCCGGAAGGTATAGGAGATGATGTTGGACGATTTTCGTTCGTATAACGAATATAACGCGATGAATAATTGCAATCGAAAATAAAATTATGAGTACAACTCGGTAAACTCCAGGTAAAGTTATATCCACGGGTACCTGATTAGTAGTCGTGTTTTTCTCTTGCGTAGCCAAAGTAGGAAAATCATCAAAACCGATGTATCATCGTGTTTTTTTAGTTTGTTAAATTAAAAAAAAAAAAAAAAAAAACACTTGTGATTAGTGAAAATGATCTAATTTGTTTATGGAATATATTATTAAAAGATGCAAATTTTCCGCCTGAAGGTTACTCTTTTTAACAAACGTTTTGAATCTCCAAATACGATTTCAAAAAAGTTGCCTACTATGTTTCTTTTGAAAACAATTTTTTAGGCAAATGCTCCAATTGTGTTACAAAGTACCTCAGAATATGCTGTATTTATACCCAGTGGTACTTTATTTGAACAATTTATCGACATTTTTATCAGAAACCTCTTAGGTCATTTTTGTTTTTTTATTTTTTACTTTGACAACAAGGACAAAACAATATAATTACTATAAAATACTACTTCGCTCAGAATCGTGTTTTCGTTTGTAGTGATTTATCTTTGCATATACGGTATTCAAACTAAATTTCTCCCTTTAAATCTTATCTTTTCAACCACAACGGAGGCCTACCCCCACGAACAGTATCAATTTTGTTTGTTTTAATTTCTATACTATTCTATCGCTGTAAATACATAATATTACGCGTTGAACTGACTTCTCAGTGGAATAATTGTACTTCTTTATGTGTAGGGTTTTTATGACATTGTTACTATAATACGCAATAACGGGGGCAGTAACGGTCCTTTTTTGACATTTTAATTGAGTGTTTTTTTTTTTTTTTATTGACCATACTAAAGTCATCTGAGCGCGGCGGGATAATAATACGTACGTAATATTATTATACTGTTTTATGATTTTATTATTGCTGTTATCACCACGGTAGAAAAAAAAAATCCCATATAATAATATTGACCCGACATTATATTATTATTATATACAAGTACTATTTATTTATATGTTATGTCGACGGACAAAAAAAAAGGTTGATTCAACATTAAAGTTGATATTTTGTCTACCAGAGTAAAAGAAAAAAGAAAAAGAAGAATAACAAAACAATATTATATTACTTATCCGCGCAAAAGAAATCACTCGAGGGGAAAGACGGTAATTCAGCTTATTCGTATAATATACGAAATCCATAAATCCGACAAACATGTTTATGGCACATATAATGCTCTTGGATTATAGGCGTTCACATGTTGCGGGACGAAAAAAAAAATAAATATATATAATAATAATTTAGCGATGTTTTTGACAAGATCGGACACGTTATAAAAGGCCAAGAAAAAAATATACCATAACCGTTCGCCGTATAGCATCAAGAGACTTTTTTTTCTCTTTTATCCCGCTTATCCCGCCCCGCGCCGACCCGTCTGACCGATATAGGTTTTTATTTTATTACGTGGGGTCGCCACGAAATTTATATGGATGAAGATGTCGATAAAGCACTTAAGGAAATCACTCCCAAAGAGTTTCTTCCTTCCCTTTCACCCGGAAACGTTGCTGCGCGACGTGGTATATAGGGACAAGTAGAAAACACACTACACATTCGTATATAACTCGATAGCAATGATATGAACCCGTAAACAAAGTATATGTGAAATCCTTTGCATTTTATTTTTTTCATTTCAAACATCAGTTACGTTCAATAAGTTTATACTTTATCTAAAATGTAGTATGCCGTAATAAATTCTGCAATATCGTATAGAAATATTCAAATAACGGTTTTATAAATGTAGATGCTCTTTGATAATATGATACGTATGTCTGTAACAATTAAATGCCACTCGCCGCACTGTAAAACATAGAAAACCATTAAAGTCCGGATTAAGGGTAAGAGTAGGGCTCGGTCCCGAGGCCCATTGATTTTGGGGGCCCATCTTTACCCCCAAAATATTTTTTTAATGCTTACGTTCAAAAGTTTTCAAAAAAATACAATTATTTTACTGGGTATTAAATTATAATACTTAAATGTTCCTATAATTTTATAGGAACAAAAAATTACTAATTAATAATGAATTTTGTTAATATATCCATTATCCATTGTACGTGAGGTGAATTACGAGGATTGACGACTCGTGTTCCACGAAAAAAATGAATGTAGGTGTTTATAAAGGCTAGATTAGGTTAGGTGGTCATGTCATTTTGAAGCTTGTAAATCATTAATTTGTAATTATGAAAAAACCTTACAACTTTGCAAAAACTTTATGAAAATGGTGAAATAAAAAGAAAAGCCACAGTATTGTAAACCAAAAATTTTAATAACAGAAATTACCTATAATAATATACATATATTATGTTACATTATTATGGAGTGATATTTTGAAGAGAAGTAATAGATAACTTCAATTGAATGAATTATATACAATTGATTTAAAAACTGCTAAATTGCTGAAATCATTGAAGAATGTTGTGTCTAATTGTACATAAAGAAAAAAAAAATGAGAATTTAAACTCATTAGGTATATCATTATTGATAAATTTGTTTTAAAACAAATATAATTGCTGCGTATAATTAATAATTATACTTCTATACATTTTTTTCTTTATTACTAAATTAAGTTGTCTACTGAATTCAGATGAGAAGTCCAAAAAAATCATTAAGAATTATATTTCCACTTATGAAAATGATGTTGACCTTTTTTTTGGAAATTAAATTATTCAATTTCAAACGGTCTTAAATTTAAGTAAAGTATCATTTGGTGACAATGATGTACTTAATTTATTATTTTCAAATGTATTAATTGTTCTTAGATTATATTTAACTATCCTGGTTGTTAATTGTTTGGCCAAAAGAGCGTTTTTCAAATTAACAAGAATAAAAAATTAATATAGAACAAGTCAGACTCAACAAAATTTAATATCGTTAATGAATCTCAAAAACAGAATATTGCATAAAAAAAAAAAAAAACAATCAAAAAAAACAAAAACCGTCATATTACGCAAATGTTTCAAATTATTCAGAAAACTAAAAGGAAAATAAAAATATGCAAACTAAATACTAAAATATGTAACTTAAAATTTGTATTAACATTTAAAATGTTTGTTTTCTAATGTTCATTAGTT